ATTATAATTTTCATACATATTCTTAAACCAAAATTAGGGTTTTTACCTTTAACAAAAACAACTTTCTATTTTCTTTTTAATGCATTAAATATTTACATAAAAATAAACAAAAACATTTTTTGCATATTTATATTTAATTGCTTATTTAAATATTGTTTATTTATCATTTGAGCAAAGAAATTCAATTTGGTTGTAATAACTTAGGATTTTAATTTCTTGCAAATAATCCCCATTCAAAATTGTATCCCCCTCCCCATATCAATGATGTAATAGCCTAGATTACTTTTACGCACTTATGCTTTCAAATATGTCATGATAGAGATTAGGGTTTGTATGCAATATCCAAAATCAAAACAAATAGCTAGACCTAATACAAGACATAAAATGCATGAAAATGATAACACAATACACACAAGCACCCTTAGGGTTTCATCCACTTGTTGCCTTAAAAATGTCCATGTTATGCATGTTGAGTATCTTGGCAAAACAAAAACAAAACAAAAAGATCATAGTCCCTCGATGACGCTATCTTGGTTGTCTATACAAAAAATGGTCTAGTCCCTCAAGAAATTTTGCTAAAGATACTTAGCACTATTGTTATCATGGTCAATACGATGACCCGCGTCTGTCCCGTTTAACATCCAAATACAAGGTTGTTTACCAAATGCAATGGTAAAACAACATTGTCAAAAGGGTTAAAAATTTATAGGAAAGACTCTTGAGTAGATAGGGTAGACAACTCTTAGTTACTTGATCAAAACTTACAAAAAACATCCTTGCTATTTTCAAACACACATCACAACACAATTTCAAAACATTTCCCAAAACAAACTTTCAAACTCTCAAACATTGAAACATCTTTTCAAAAGACAAACACCTTTGTATACATTTAAACAAGAATCATTACAAAGGTTGCCTAGACAAAATGCCTCTTTTCAAAACATTTTCAAAACCCCACACACAAAGCACTATTTCAAACAATTGAAAAGCAAAAGCAAGTGATCTAAACAAGTAACTAAGAGCCCATGGATAACCATGGATGAAAAGGGTGCTTGCACCTTCCCTTTTCATAATCTACCCCCCGAACCCAAGAAAACATCTCAAAGGTATTTCCTGTGCTTTTTGACCTTTCCTTTGGATAAAATAAAAAGTCGGTGGCGACTCTTGCTAAACCGAAACATTTGCGAACACAAAACGCAAAACCTCAAGTCAGCTCTCCCACCGCATCACAATATCTATAAGGTTCTAATACCTATTGAAGAATTTAAATGAAATAAATTGATAACGGATAGATACAAATTATAGCATATTATATTAAAGACAAAATACTCATTTTAGTCTCTTTACTATACATTTGGGTTCAGATTGGTCCCTTAATTTTTTTGCGTGTCACCTTGATCCTTTAACTTTTAAAACATTATCATGTTTGTCCTTATGTTAGTGGACGTTAGTTAATCTCAAAAAACAGCTTCCAAGTGACATGCTACTGGCTAACGTGGATTTAGATTCTATTATTAACATGAATACTTTGAAAACAGACAATCAATGAAGGTGAGTGATTGGAAAATAAAATTCTACTAGTCCGACAACTTTTATACATGGTAAAACAATTCTAGGTGGTAAACCATCCTCATACCATCATTCTCTCCTCCATAAACTACTCAACTCAACCATATCTTCCATCTCCATCATCAAACAACAAAAATCTTCATTGTGCACTATTAACAACCTCCTTCAAATTAACACCATCACCTACAAACATAAGAACACGCCAACCACAACAGCAAAAAAATGAAGAAGAAAAAGAAGAAGGAGAAGAAAATGAGTTCATCGAAACAAGAACATCGTCACAGTCGCGTCATTTTTTTATCTTTGCAAAATCCACCTCCGAGTAACTCAAACCACCATGAATCACGCGAAGAATGCAGCTTCTGCGATTATGTCGCTAGAAATCACCACGGAAACTGGTTGTTGTTGAAACTGGACGTGAATCCGGCCATTTTCGCTCCACCACACACCCTTTCGTTCACTATTCCGACTGGTAACCCTTTTCGCTTGAACTTTCAATTTTGCTTCTTCATTTTTTATGGACTTTTGTTCTAATATAGAAGGATTGAGGTTCACAATTTCATTTTCGTGAAAATCGAACGAGGAAAACGTTGAGAGAAGAAGCTGAGAGGATCGTGAGTGGAGAAACGAAGAAGAAGGAAAATGGGTATAAATAAGATGATGTACCTTTCCCACCTCAACTGCCACGTAGCTTAAATAAACAGGCGTTTGAGGAAAACAAACGGAAGAGACTTATTTGCATTTATTAAAAAGTTAAAGGACCAAGATGACGCAGAAAAAAATTAAGGGAACAATCTGAAACCAAATGTAAAGTTAAGAGATCAAAATGAGTATTTTTCCTATAATAAAAGATATTTCATCCGTCTCATAATAAGTGTCTCGTTTGCACTTTTTCTATGTCTCAAAATAAATGTCTCTTTAGAATACCAATACAACATTTATTATTTTTTCCCCACTACTATACTCCTATTTATTAACTTTCACGATTTTCAACTACTCTACTAACTATAATAAATAAGGGTGTTTTAGTAAATAATACTAATTTTATCATTAAAATCAACACATTTAATCATTTTTTTTAAACTGCACAGAGCTTAAACGAGACACTTATTATGAAACGGAGGGAGTAATTATGAGCGACATATCTTTCAAAATTTGGGAGATTGTCGTCATAGGAGGTGTGAATATGAGAGAATTACTACACTCATTATTGTTTAGGATTTTCAGAGTATGTTAATCATCTAATGAAATAACGCTTAAATAAGTAAACACCTGAGAGCATAGATCTCTCATTAGGCTTAACTAAGTGGTCAAATTCATCACAGTTCATTCAATCACAAAATTCAACCAAATAATTTATCTATAAATTGAACCAAATAATTCATCTATAATAAGTGTTTAATAACAATTGACCATAATATATTTTCATTAGTAATTAATTATGTCAATCCACATTTGACTAATTAACTAACATGATAAATTCTAGAGGATTAAATTAGCACTTAGTGTTGGAGTTGCCAATATTTGAGAGTACATATAGATTTACATTGAAGAATGTGCAAATACGTTATCGTGTATATGGGAGCATGAGGTTGTTGGGCCGCCTGGATCCTTACCAGAATTATTATTATGTGTTTGGCAAGATAAGAAATCTCAACCTCTTTTAGGGTGGGGTGATTGATTTTTAACAATTAGACTCCATATAAAGTCAAACGGTGCCGCTCTTGATTAGAGGTGGCCAAATGGGTAGGAGCCATTGAACCGACCCGTTTGACCTATTATTTTTTATGAGTCGGATCGAGATTTTTAGTTCGGTATTTTAAGTTGATCCATTTCATCTAACCCGCTTTAAAAATGAAGTGAGGCGGAATGGATTTTGCTTGCAGTTTTTTTTTTTTTACTTAGAATAAAAATTGAGTTGTGCATTAAATATGTCAATGCACTTGTTTTTTTCTCTTTATTGATAAAAAAACAGGAATTTATATATTTATGTTTAACGTCACAATAAATTAGGAAACTTATTTTCATGTTGTTCTACTTAAGGTGACAATACGGTGGAGGCAAGTTACAACCATTAAAACCATTAATTTATGAGATAAGAATTAAAAAATTGAGAAGCAATGAAATAATAATAATAAATTATTAATGTTTAGTAAAATACTACAACTTTTTATATATTTATTATTTAGTGACTCTTAAAGGTAAATATTATTTTTTGGATGGTAATTGCATATGGTCTAAAAGTTTGTAATAAAGTAGTAAATCAAATTGTAAATAAAATAATATAAAAAAATTAAAATTATAAATAAAGTAGTAAATCAAATTGAAAAAAAAAAGTTTGGCAGATCGATTCTCCAACTCATTAGTAAACGAAACAGATTTGATATTTGAGTTAACGCCTCAGTCCGCCTTTAAAAGAGATTAAACGGTGTTAGTCATCCACTTTACCACTCTTACTCTTGATAAATGAGAGGATGTTTGTGACAAATGATCTCGTGACATCTAATCCAATAATTAGGAGCATTGTCCTTATCATCATCAATGAGAAGATGTTTCTGACAAGTGGTCTCGTGACATCTTGGATGTCCTTAACATCGTCTAGTGCCTTGAAACAACATATAGTTCAAGAATACATTATGGTTAATATAGTCTATTTTGAAGATAAATAGTGGAGAATGATACACTTGAGATAAATAGTGGAGAATTATACACTTGAATGATAACTTGTGTTGGCCATATATAGTCATATTTTACACATCATAAACTCCTTTAATTTGTACATTAAATCTTTGCCCATATATGTTGTGTTGTATTCTTTTCTATATTTCTAGATCTCGTCAGAAATTGTAGTAGCTCATAGTGAGATTTGACTGTTTTTTTGGACTTTCTGATTGCAATGTTGTTGAGGGTTATTCTCATTGTTGGGGAAGAAGGTGAGGGTGTAGTGGAAAGTGTGGAATTTGAAATAAAATTTAAAGGTTGAGGTGGGACAGTGTCATGATAGGTGTTGGTAGATACATGTGTGGAGTTAAAGTTCTTTAAAGTAGAAGACCTTTAAAGGTGCAAAATTGTGGGTGATGGTGAAAAAGTAAAGTGAAAGAAAAAAATTATAAAAAAAGTAAGATTCAAATGATACCATGTGAGGTTAAAAAAGAATGCATAAAGGGAATTATTGCAAATAACATTTTAGAAAAAACACTTGTTCTAAAATGAACCAAAAATAGAACTACTAAACCTTTCATTTCTTGTACATGCAAACAAGTGATCATCTCATGACAACTTTGACATGTATGTGCTTTACATCAAGAAAAAAATGGTTAATACAAACATGTTAAGAAGCCATGCTCTAAACAGACATAGGATGATATACCAATGAGACATTGATTTCCATGACATGTCAAAGTTCCAACTAGTTAGCATGAGCCAACAAACTATATAGAAGAAATATCTTCATATATAGTCTTGATACCAGGCCTTTCATAAACCGATCGAATACATCGGATCGCTATTCCTAAGACCTCCTTCATTCCCTTTTCTACCACTGGATTTCCCATTTCTGACATCAAAGTAGAATCAAAACACTCCGAGCCTCGACCTTCTGCTACTCGCAATCTTAGCCAATCTGTAAGATCAACACCTCCCTCCTCACCGGATACCACATCACCAGCACACCTTCCAGTTAAAAGCTCCAAAAGTATCACGCCGAAAGCATAGACATCTGACTTGAACGACGGCATTGGCTTCTTGGAAGCAGCTAACTCTGGTGCACGATAACCCAAGACACCAGCATCAAGAATCTGTTCAATAGTACCAGCTTGAGTCATGAGTCGGTGAAGACAATAATCAGCAACACGTGCGTTCATATCAGGTGTGTCTAACAGCACGTTTGTAGCTTTAAGGTTCCCGTGAGGAACAGCTCGGTCGAAATGGAGATAGTTCAGGCCACGTGCTACATCAACTGCTATTTTGAGCCTCTGAGCCCATGTTAACGGTGGACCGTTTCTCCCTGGTCGATCTGAGAATTTTAATTTGTCGATAAGTTCAAACTTTAAATATTTTAAGAATAATAACAAACAGATACAATGGATGAAACATGAAACATCTATTAGCAGCACAAGCAAATATTCATAATCGATTAAATGCGGTTATATTCATAATAAAAGAAGTAAAGTAAGATATTACCATAAAGAAAACTTGAAAGACTTCCTGGTGAAATGTAATCTGAAAGAATGAGCTTCTCGTGCTGCGTAGGACCCCAATAATAACCTCTCAAACCGACGACATTTGGATGCCTGATGTTTGCAAACTTTCTTATCTCTTTAACAAATTCTTTTCTTTGTTTTGCCACTCCTTCTCTCAACCACTTCACTCTCAACAACACGCCATTATCCAAAGTTGCTTTGTAAGAAGTACCGTGACTACTTCTTCCCAGAACTTCAGCCGGTGCCCTCGATAGCTCCTCAGGTGACAGCGATATTGTATCATCAAGAAAATGCAGCTCACCAATCAACCTATCCGGAGACCTCGTATCTAGCCTTGTAAGATTTTCGGCAGTCAATGAATCGCCAGATCCTGGTGACCATGAAAAGTGGCTGTGTTTTGACGGGGAGAATCCAGCTACGGCTGCAGTTTTTTCATCGGGGCTAATTATTTCTGATGGTGAACCTTTACGCGAGGATACAAGATCTTCAGCCGATACAACCAAAGGGCCACCTCTCTCTGTCGGACGAATAGGTCCAGATATTACCGGTTGAGGGCGCCCGTGGATATCCTTACTTGTATCATATTCTTGCGTAGATGATCTTGACATACGTATGTAGTGTATGAAGACAGCCAGTAAGATTAATATGAAGAGAGCAACCACACATGAGACTATAATTATTACCTTAACAACCGTGGTCATAGACTTCCTCCCCTTGGAACTATCGGCCGGTGAAACGGTTGATCCAGGAGGACCATTTGGAAAATGTAACTTGTCATTTCCAGGAAAGAAAGAAGAAGTAGGGAACTTCCTAAGAATTTCTGGGACAGCTCCAGATAGATCATTTTCTGAAGCATTGAAGTATTTGAGTCCAATTGGCATATTATTTGGAAGTGGACCGGTAAAACGATTATCCGATATATCCAAGGAGTCTAGAGAACTCATGTCAGAAATAGTAGTTGGAAGAGAACCAGCAAATTTATTTCCAGCGATATTGAGCACTCTCAGGCTAGTTAATGATCCAAATTTATCGGGAAAAAAGCTATTAAGCTGGTTGTGAGAAAGATCAAGAACTTGAAGATGAGATTGGTCAAGAGTAGACGATAAATTGATGCCACCATCAATCAAATTATTTTCGAGATGAAGCTCTTGTAACGTTGGCATTGTGAAAAATTCTGCTAGAAGAAAGCCTTTTAATTGGTTGGAACTGATATCAAGCACTCTAAGCTTCGGATACCGTGTTAATACTTTTGGAAGGGAGTCACCGAGATCATTACCAGATAAGTTCAAATAACTCAATCGCAAAAACTGAGGAGTTACCTCGGGGATGTTCCCTGTCAAACGATTCCGACTGAGATCAAGATATTCTATGTTCCCCCATTTAAACATCCTTGTTAAATTTCCTTCAAATTTGTTATTTGACAGATCGAGTACAGCACAACTTCCAGTCAGCGGCGGCAGCTGGCCAGTGAAACCATTTGATGAGATATTCAGAAAGTGAAGTGTCGTTGATGTAATTATACTCAGTGGTCCTGTAAGACAGTTACAATATTAGATTAATAGCAAAATAAGACAGAAAGTGAAACCATTTTGACGTAGAACGAAAAAAACAGAATTAATGATCTCTACCTGAAAGATTGTTGGCGCTCAAATCAAGTTCAGTTAAAACCAAAGAATCTCCTTTAAGTAAGCCACTAGGAATAAATCCTGAAAACTTATTGTTGCTAAGCTTAAGGGTTTGGAGATCGTAAACAAAATCGAATCCAGGTAATTCACCATTCAATTGGTTATAGCTGAGATCCAACACCTTCAAGTTTTGGAAAACAGGTTGTTCGGCTCCACCAACCAATGAACCAGTAAGCTGGTTATGGCTAAGATTCATATACTTAATACTTTCAGATATTTGTGGAAGAAATTTCCCGGAATCGGAACTCAGCAGCATGTTATCACTTAAATCAACATAGCTAGCACCTGATAAAAGCATAAACTCGAGATCTAAAGGACCGTCAAGCATATTCCCATGCAAGTCGAGTTTATCAAGGTTGGAAATAAGCTCAAAACCTCTGGGAATTTTTCCAGTGAAGCCATTACGAGACACATTAAGAGATACAAGACTATCCAGTTTAGTCAATGATTGCGGAAGTGCTCCGGAAAGGGCGTTACGGCTCAAGTCTAATGATTTGATGGAAGACATCTCAGAAATAGAATTCGGAATTGGACCGGAAAAGTTATTTCCAGCCAATGACAGATTCTGCAAGCTATCAAATTTACCGATTCCAACCGGTAAGGACGAAAAAAAGAGGTTATTGGAAATATCAAGAAACTCAATGCTTTTGAAATCGGCAACATTGTTGGGTAATTTTCCTGATATGGAATTATTGGCCATGGAAAGTTTCACAAGCTTCGACAGATTAGAAAAAACACTCAAATCCGTATCGGCAGAGAGACCTAAGTTATCAAGGACAACACCAGCAACATTACCACCGTTACAAAGAACACCATTCCATGAAGACGGACAACCGTCAAAGTCAATCGATTCTTCATTCCACGAATTCAGGACATAACCAGTAGGGTCATGCTTGATGCATTTCTTAAACTCCAACAATGCTAAAATGTCCTGTGAAGGAAGCTGCCCCATAATGGTAAAGAAAGATAAAGATAACACAAAAAGAGTAAAGAGCTTCATAGCTTTCACTCTTCTAGCTCAAAAGGCTTATATCAACTAGTATTTTTCACAACTACCAACAAACATGTACAAAGAAAATTTCCAAAATACCCTTTTTTCTGTTCTTGTGGAAGAAAGTAGCATAGAAGTAAGCTCAATCTTCAAACACCCAAAGAACCCAATATAGCCTCTTCAAATTCACACTGACTTAAAGTTCTGCATTTTACAACAAAACTTTGGAGTCATAAAATGCTAAACAATCACCAAATAAAACCAGAAGCTTATCCTTAAAAAAAAACATAGATTGTACTAATGCAATGTAGATTTAACAGAGACAAAACAATAACTACACACAGTAAACAAAAACATAAATGCACTGAACATAACCAGAAAAACAAAAAAGTGTAGATTTTTAGAGATCTGAAAACATAAAAACATAATATTTATATTTCTAACCAAAATAATTTCTTTAAAGTACAATGTATACTGCAACAGAAAACCCTACCTTCAAGTATCAAACTTTAGAACTCATAACAAAGATTAAACCTTTCAAACCCCTCATAACTAAGGTACAAAGAAGCAGCATTGTGGTGGCTACAACCAACTCATGAAACAAAAAGGGTAATGAATACTGAATTTGACATCAATGTTGCAATAAAGAAGAAGGGACCCATGAACTTTTTTTGGTATCAAAAAGCTTTGATGGAAGGAGTGATATCTTTTTCTAACCTAAAATAAAGTATTGAAATTTCTGAAAACAGTAAATAAAACCCATCATTTACTTTAATGCTTAATGCCAACAGAACCTTAAAAAAACTATACCTTTGTCCTTTTTAGTTAGTGTCTTTTAGCAGACATGTGACAATGAAAGACCTTGAAACAAAACCCTAGTTTTAAATTTGTAAGAGTGTTTTTTAAAAGTAAAGTTGTGTGTTTGAATTTCATCTTTTGAGGGTTTTTTTAATAGCTGCATTCTAAAATGGATGCAAGATAAAAAGGGTAAACTGGGGAAAAAAATAAAGTTTTGATTTTTATTTGAGTATTTTTTTTGGGAGAAAAAATAGGGATTTACCCGCCAAAAAAAGAGTGAGGGAATCTAATCTAATCAATCTAACAGGAATCTCTAACTTTCCTAGTGGACGTGAAAAGATTTTATCAAATGGGGTTTTAAGATTTTAGGGTAGGGAAGTGGGTCCCATGCTGACCCTTTGACTAGGTTCTATTGGTTTCATCAATAAAGACACAATTACGTAATCAGAGGAAATGAAGAGGTGAAGTTGGTGAAGGAATAATGGAGATGGGGCCCATGGGCCATAGGCCATGGGCCATGGGCCAAGGGCTTGTCCATAAATAGGCCTATTGGCAAACTTCTAGACAGACAAATTTATAGCACAATAAAATAAATTGGGAAATTTGATAGAGATATAAAAGAAATTGAATTTCTACAGTCGAAAATTTTGTCGCATTCACACTGTTAAATTATTATTAACCATGTAATCTTGATTATAATATTAAAAATATATATTTGGTTTTACTAAAAAATTTAGCTTTAAGTTAAAATCATTTGATCTTAATAGGATGGTCTGTCTTACTTAAATGCATGAAAACTTGGTTATTTAAATGTGGATCCCATATTTAGTAGTTTCCTCTTTTCACTCATGATCTCATGTATTGTTGAAAATTATTAGTGTCTTTGTAAAACATGTTACTCTCATTGTAATGTTCATTGATGGTCTTATATATTTTTTTCTTTAAGAGTAATAATTAATATGAGTTTATTAATACTAATTGTGTAAGCAAGTTTTATAAGAACCTTCAATCATATTAAATAATATTAGCATGTAATGTAACAACATGATGTGACATAATAATGAGATTTTTTAAATATGTGATTGTTAATAAGAGATTTGTTCTCAAATGTGTGGATAGAATGATTAGCTACGATTCGACTAGAGCTTAGATTTTAAAAAGTAATGTTTTAAAATTCAGACTGGTGATCGATTCGGTAAAGTTACTGGGTCACTGGATTATTGGTCGGACCAGTGAGTCACTGGTCAGACTACATGACTTTTGACCCGATTTCTATAAAAAAATATATTCATTACCTGAAATTTGTAATTATAATAATATAGAAAATTATAAATTCAAATAATTTAGAATAAACAAAAGTATTAGTAACAATCAAAATAAGTGATAGAAACATAATGTAGCAAATTATAAATTCAAAGAAGTGATAGAAACTTAACAATTCATAAGTTATAGTATTATAATAAGTCACAAAAATCCATATTCAACTATCCATAATTTTTTATGTCCATGAAGTCAAATTGTCATAATCTTGATATTCATATCCATCTTCAACTTCATTGTCTTCTCCACCAACTTCATCTTCTCTAGTGTTGCTTTTTTCTTGATTCACAATATCAACAATAGTGTCTTGTGCATTACCCATATCTCCATCTTCATCCTCATCTAATATATTTGATCTATAACAATATTTTAAAAAATGATTAACAAAAAAAATTTAGAGATGGTAAATATGAGACATTAAATTGATTCACAACCACAAACTATATTATACTCATATTAGAACATACCAATATCACTTGAAATTGGTTGGATGGCCATATTTGCAAGGTCATTCCGCAATGCTTCGAACTCTTCATTGGTTAAGAGAGGTGGTGAATCCTCTAATACCCAACTAGAATGGTCGGCAATTGTTTCAATATTGATAGGATCATAACTCTCATTACTTATTTTCCTAAGCACAAATGAATTAAATCTAAGTATATGTATTTAAATATAAAAGTATAATGATCAGAGAAAAATAATCATAATAATACCTATTTTGAAGTCTCAAGTTGTAACGAACAAACATTAAATCATTAAGTTTTTGGTGCTCCAATCTATTTTTTTTTTTGGAATGAATATGCTCAAATATACTCCAATTGCGTTCACAACCCGAAGCACTGCAAGTTTGACTTAAAATACAAATATCTAACCTTTGCAAAGTTGGTGTACAAGTGTCATAAGTTTCCCACCATTGATCTATTTATACCAGAATAAAAAAGAAAATCTTTCAAATGCCTAGGTTTGGAAAACGAGGAGGCAAAGCGTTTATGTTAATTTTTTTTTCAAAAGCCCTAAAAAATAAAATAAATAGTCAAATTCGCTGGTTCAGTAAAAACCGCCGGTGATCCGGCCGGTTCACACCGATTTTATCCGGTCTAAATATAATTCTGATCTTATCTCTTAATCGGACCGTCTGGTCTACCGATTCTCGATCAGACCGGTCCGACCGACCAGGTCGGACTGGATTTTAAAACACGGTTAAAAAGGGTTAAGTGCAAATTAAAATTAAATTTCAATTTCAATTAAAGTTATTCACATTCAGTATTTAATAATGGATGGAACAAAATTATCTTCGATGTGAAGAATTTATGGAAAAAAAATATTATCTACGATAATAATAAAAAATAGTGAATTTAAAGATTAAAATTATAATAAATTAAACAATTCAACCTATATACATTCAACATCATAATGCGCATGATGAGTTGCTTAAGTAAAAGTGTAAAACATGACGTATAAACTTTATCTGAATTAGTTTAAAATAAAATCAAGCAAATCAAATTTTTATTTAGAAAATTTCTCCTCTTTTATATTTTTCTAAAATACAAAAATTATCTTTTCTACATTCCATAATTGAATCAATAATTACACTATCATTTTAGATCATATCTTTGTTCGAATTTAATCAAGAATTACAATATTATTGATGCGGTTATATATTACTTATGTATTAAATCGTATGAAGATTACATTGTTGATAATAATACATTTAAAAAAGTGTATCGATTACAATCTAAAATGCATCATGATGCATCCGGAAGAATCTCTAGGTGGGTCACTCCAAAGTTGAAAAATATTTTCGAAAAATCATATCTTGTCAGTTCAATACACACCTTGTCATACGCAATTGCTATAAAATGGTCCATTTTAGGGAAGCGCATCAATTTTGACTCTGGTGCGGGGCCGCTAACACAAGTAATTAGAGCATCGTAAATTGCATTAAAATGTTCTTTTTTCCTGTATAGTGATGTGTAGAATTCCCTATGTGTCGTCACCTTTTTCAAAAGTTATTGGCGGGCAAAAAAGTGAGTCTCCCCTCCTCTACCAAGCAAGTCGGATACGGACCGATAACCACAATTATCATCACTCTTAATATTTACAATTCGCTCAATGTATTTGTGCATAAAAATATCACTAAGTCGTTAAATGATAAACCATCTTAAGGAAACAACTATGAAATGGCTTCATCTGTATTTTCAGATATGTATTTGCGAATTAACCTCAAAAAAATTCGAAGATGCATCTTTGAACTAAATTTTGATAATAAATGGGATTTGATGCGTTAGGAGATGTATCTCTAAAGAAACCCAAGGGTATTTTGGAGTTTTCAGAGGTGCATCACACACCATAAGAGTGGAAAAATAAATTGTCATAAAGTAATCTGAAAGTTTTGATAGCCATATAAAGTAGTTTTCTCTGTCTTCTTAAGACATTTCAATTGATAGTTATCAAGGACATCAAAGTATACCTACTTGTGATTTCTTGATAATCTCTATCGCACAAGAAGTAGTCGGGAAAATAGTTAGGTTCTTAAGAAGTTTGAATTATATAAGAGTATGGAATGAGAATCATTGTATGATTTAGTTTATGGGAGAATAACATGATTGCTTAAAGATAACACAAATTATTCACTGCATTTAAAAATAAACACATAAAAGTGTGTCAAAAGAATGAAGTAAGCTAACATGCACTTCAAATAAGTTCATGTGTCCAAAAACTGGAGGAACAAATTCTTATGCCTGAAACTGGAGGAACAATGGATGTTTTCACATTAGTAATAAGTTGGACTCATTACAAGTGATATGTCGTCGGGTGAAAAGGTGGAACATCTAATAAGACTTATCAACAATAATAAAAATGTATGTGGAAGTCTCAAGTTCAAAATGAAC